CCCCCCCAAGCATTGCTCTTGTATTGCCTGATCTGTCTTCAGACAAGCTGTTCTCTCTCTTCAGAAATGCCCTTCCCCTCTCACTCTCTCTCATACTCCTGTTCAGATGTGTCTATTAAATAGGTTCCCTCCAGAAGAGTTCATTTCAATCCCCCCTCTGTGTTCCTAACAGATATTGCTGTGCCATGGTCCTTTAACACCTCTGAGAGGCAATGTCTTGCAGTGGCTAAAGGTGAGGATTTGGAAGATAGAATTTGAATCCTGGCTGTATCACTTACTAGCTGTGTGACCTAGGGCAACTCACCTCAACCTCCATGAACCTCAGCTCCCTCGCTTATAAATAGCAATAGTACCTACATTACTGTCCCTCGCTGTGAAGAGTCAATGTTCCCAGTACAGAGTTCTTGACATCCTAGCATTACCATGAATGAAAGAAGGGCCCAAAGATGGCAGATAAGCATATTATGCTCTTGTAATTTGAAGAGTTAACACTCAGTTAGGATCTGACGGTGCAGCCACCTTGAAACCATGTGGTGATTTCCTTTGAGAAAGCATGTGACAAAGTGTCAAACAGTGGCAAACAAAGAGTAAGCTCACACACAAACTCTTAAAAGACCTGGCAGGGGCGGCCTTTAGGATAGCACATCTCTGGTTGTGACACGTGACACAGAAAAAGAAATTGGAAGTTGCACAGAGCCAAGAGAGGAAGGCAACAGGGAAACAGGCCCTAATTTCTCTGCAAGGAGATGCTGTCTGATGGCCTGGCAATTCCCAGTGCTTCTTGGTACACAATAAGGACACCCAGGTTGTGGAGAACAGCCAAGGACAGCTTAAATGAGCAAACTTCAAATTGAGAGCCCACCTTTAAAAAATGTCTTTCCATTGTTTTTCATTTGAGATGTACAATAGGAAAAAAGAGGAAAAAAAATGTTGTTTTATTCTATGTTAATGAATGAACTACAGAAAGGGAAGAAAAGGAAAAGCAAATTACAGCAACTGCCAGATAAACACCTTGCCTAAAGCAAGTGAGGGATTTCATGAATTGCAAAATGCCACTTGGAAGGCCTCCTTGGCTGAGAAATGCATTCAAATTTCATTTCTTTAAACGAATGTGACTGTCCCCATGGGCATTGTTCTCAGATCAGAAACTCTGGGTGTTTTCCTCACCAACTTGAGAAGAAAATTCAGCTTACTATTGCTTGTTTTTTATAAAATCAAAAGCCAACTGAGGGAAACAAATTAATAAAATGATCCCATATCTCCTGTATTACGTGTTTCTAAAGAATAAAGAGAAAAAAACTGCCTTTGCATTTATAGAAATTTAGAAAAACACTTCTACAGTGTTCCTTATGCTCCTTTGTTTAACTGTGCTGGGGTTTTAAAAATTCTTGGATTGGCCTTTCATCTTTCAGGAAAGTAAGGTAACAATTTTTCTTAAGCAATTGGCAGTGATGCGCTTAAGCGCTTAGCCCGCTTCTCCTGGAAGGAAGAGGTGGTGCCGGGGCGGGGAAGGGAAGCCAGGGGGCTGGAGGAGAGGGTGCCCAGGCCTGCCGCCCGAGGCCAGCCAGCTCTCTAGGCCGGCCAGGACAGGCGTGTGGTGGCGGCAGCTTAGAGGTGTGCCCAGGAAAACGAGTCGCGTGCTCACCTCTGGCACTCGCTGGGTACACCGCATGGCGGGGGCCCCGCCGACTCTGATGTCCTGCCCCAGAGAGTAGCAAGGCTGTTCCCATTTATGCCACGAGCATGGTGAGTGGCTGGATGTTTCCATGTTACAAAAACTCCTGGTGCAGAAATCTGCCATTTGGCTCACTTTGATTTGGTCATTTTTCAGATTAGAAACACCTGAAGGAGAGGCCCGCCGTGCACTATTCGCACCTCGCAAGCAATGCCCGCAGCTGCGGGGCAGCCCGTCTGGGTAAGCAGGCAGTGCCATCTCATCAGGCTGAGGCTCTGGGTAATGAATGAAACACAAAATAGGACACTGCTTTGGTCTCCCGTGTGAAAGAGCTCCTGCAGAGGTCTGGGTGACGGAACATAATGCATGCCTTATTTCAACCCTTCCTCTGTTTTATTCTCTATGCTACACTGTAAACCATTTCTGGGATTAATTCATTTTAAAAAGTGGGCCATGATTTCAGATTAAACTTCTTAAATTCACAGTGAAGTCAGTGAAAAATTTCCCCTTTATTTTTTTTTACTGCTTTCACTATCCAAACCCTCAGCATAAGACCCCCTGGTCTTATACAATTTATCCAAAGCTCTGGGCAGGTCAAGGGCCCTTTACCCTTCACTCGTGAATTCAGTGCTATTGTAGGAGACAGACATTCTTTCCTCCCCTTTTCACTTAAAGAAACATATCAAACCTGAATAGACTCCAGGCTAGACTGGGGTCGGGAGTGATTTTATTAGTCCTCATATAGCTATTGGCACATGCTTGAAGACAATATGAGGAAGGAAGGAAGGAAGGA